TGGGAAGTCCCACATGGAACTTACTGGAGGCGTGGCGCTTGACTTTGACCTGTGGGTCCACACGGTGGGACTTCTCACTGCAGGAGGAGGCGTGGCGCTTTACCTGGGTCCCAGAGGGGCGCTCGGGCTCCTCGTCCTGGACAGGAGATAGAGGAGGAAGGTTAAATGCAGGTGGGCTCAGGCTCATCAATGTGGGGGTGCATTTCTCTCAGGTGTGAGCACTGGTGGGATCTCTGTGATCNCCCCAATTCATATGTTGAAACCTAATCTCCAGTGTGATGGTATTTGGAGGTGGGATCTTTGGGGATGCTGGTCAGAACTTCCTCCATCTTTGCAATCTTCAAAATTTAGGCTTACATATTTACAAACTTTCCCTGAGCAGATTGCTTAGCAACCAAGGCAGAGCAAGGAAGTGAATGCTGTGTTAATAATGTAAGATAAGGCCATGTGAAGCAAAAGACTCTTAGACTTTTGTGCCAACAGATCTTTTCCCTTTGGCATAGTTCCACCTTTGTCTCCAAGACCCTTATAAACTCCCAGTTCCCCTCCAGGCATTGCAGAGTACAGCTGCACAGCCCTGGATTGCCATTCAGCCTGATCCTTTTATGTAAGTCACCCATCAATGAACTTTGATGATAATTTATGGAGTTGCCTGCTTCATTTTTGGTCTCAAGATACCAACCTTCACAGTCCGGAAGCTATTTTACCTAGCTCTGCACTCAGGGCCGTTAGCAGATGATTAAGTCATGAGGGTGAAGCCCTCATGAATGGGATGAATGCCCTTAAAAACAGAGACTCCAGGAAGTGAAAAAATAGCCATTTATGAACCAGGAAATGGGCCCTCACTGGACACAAAATTTGCTGGCACCTTGATTTTGGACTTCCCAGCCTCCAGAACTATGAGAAGTAAGTTTCTGTTGTTTATCAGTCACCCAGTTTATGGTATTTTGTTATAGCAGCCCAAACAGACACCTTTCCTTTTGTGTTCTTCAGTTTCTTCATCTGAAAAATGTTGTGGGACTACATCAGTGGTTTCTCACTGTGATTTCCAACTGCCCTGCAAGGAACCCTGGGCTTTCATATAAAATTAGGTTTGAAGAAAGGGTCTTTTTCTTTTTTTGTCTTTGTGTGTGTGTGTTTTGACATTTTGTGATTTCTCTAATCTTACATGCTTATTTCAGTTTAGTGTTCCATTTTAAAATGGGCATTTCACAAGGTCCTGTATTTCCAGGGCCTATGAGAGTAGAGTGTAAAGCAAGTTACACAACAGCCTTCTTATTGTTCATAGAGGGGACTCAGACCCAGAGAGGTGAAAGGGCTTCTTTCAAAGTAACATAGTAATTTAGTGGTCAAGTGAGGAATGGAATACAGATCTCCTGACCCCAAGAAGGACTTATCTATGTGAATGGAATGGAGCTATAATATAGAAAAGTATTTTTCAAAAATAAGTCTTTAAAAAGCAAAGAACAGAACTTGACTTTGTCCAGGTGCAGGGTGAAGAAATGTAAAGCAATGAAGAAAAAACTCTTAGACCATGCTGTCCTACAGGAAGCTGGTTTGTTCATGAAGATGAATCACATAGGAGCAGAGATCAGTGCTGGAAATCAAACAGAACTTACAACAGAGTTGTCTGGCATGCTTAATCATTATTGTGCAGTGTGGCAATCAGGCAATTCACCAAGCCCCTATGGGGTGCTAGGCAGAGCTCAGGCTCGTACACAGAGGTGAGCTGTTGCTTTCATGGCAGCTGGCTCGAGGATATTTGGAGGGGTTCAGTTCTCTGCTTATTACACCAGATCAGAAATCACAAATAGTTAGTTAGCCTTGGAATGGATACAGCTTGTAGACGTGCACTGTCTCTTTTTATATATATATATATATATATATTTGGCCTTGTTTGGTGTTAAATTTTTAAAAAATTAGTTGCCAATATTAAAAAATGAGTAGAATTCACATAAAGTCTAGATTTCTGGTCTCTTTTGAATAACTGGCAAATCTAGCAGCAGGGGCCGGCACTACTGTGTGGGGACCAGCAGCCGGAGCCAAGCAGCAGCCACCCCTACAGTCAGGGCCTGAGCACTCCAGTTTCCTACAGGCTCCCACCACCCCCCGTCATTTCTCCTCTGAGGCCACATGCCAGCTGCCCTTTATAACTGTGCTGGTGCTGTTATTTTTCTCATGGTAGAGTATTTTCTTACACCTCACCACCTCACTTCGCTCATTCATTTACCTGCCTGATCCATGGAGGGAATCTGATTTTCAGATGTCTCCTGTAGACTGCTTCCCTCCCTTCCTCCCTGTTCAGTTGGGAAGTCCCACATGGAACTTACTGGAGGCGTGGCGCTTGACTTTGACCTGTGGGTCCACGCGGTGGGACTTCTCACTGCAGGAGGAGGCGTGGCGCTTTACCTGGGTCCCAGAGGGGCGCTCGGGCTCCTCATCCTGGCCAGGAGATAGAGGAGGAAGGTTAAATGCAGGTGGGCTCGGGCTCATCAATGTGGGGGTGCATTTCTCTCAGGTGTGAGCACTGGTGGGATCTCTGTGATCTTGACCTTACATTTTTAGACTTTGGCATCACTCAACAGTTTATAAAGCACTTTCACTAGCAGTTTGTACTTTGAACCTCATACCTTCCTGTGGGGGGCTGAGGAAGGCAAACCTAACCTGGAGTACCCACCAAGAAGAAACTAGGAAGTATCTAAACTTTTTGATTTATCATAGATATTTCTGTCCTCACATCATTTGGAAGTATCCTTCTAATTTTCTAAGCTACTAATACAGAGTCTTCCCTCAAAGAAAATTTTTTTTTCCATAGATGAGATCAGCCAATGGTAGAACTAACTGAACAGACCTAATTTAATAGACTGACTATACATTTGTACATGAAGAGTATTAAGAACACTCAAAGTCCAGTCAAAGCTCAGGAAACCACAGTGGAATATGAAATACTGTAATATGATAATGATGTTGATGACAACAGTACTGTTACTCCTCTGTATAAGACCTTCCAATGTCCAGGCACTGTGCTAAGTTCTTTATATTTAGTATATTTCATTTAGTTCTTGCAGTAGTTCTAGAAGGTAGGTCTTAGCGTATCCATTTGGAGTCAGGAAGTGAGGACCAGAGAAGTGAAGCCTGAGAAAACAGCCTCAGCCCCGAGTCTGACTCCAACATTCACGTCCTTAAGCACTAAGCTGTCTTGCTACTGAACTCTGCAGCTGAGAAGAACCTCCAGCTGCACCTACTGGTTCTTGTGAGTCTGAAGACCATGTGAACAGAAGAAGGATGGCTGGAGAAGTTTCTAGAAAAGGGAGTCCTAGAGGTGAGAACACAGAATGTCATCTAGCACCGTCCATGGCAGGGGTCCTGGCCTGCAGACACATCTGGTGTCCCTCTGTCTCCCTGCTAGCTGTGAGGCCTCACAATCTTCTCCCCTCCCAAGCCTCTGATCAGAATGTGGTTCTCTTCCAGCCTCCTGAAGAAGGAGAGGGCACAGGGCACACTGCCAGGAGCACTCCAAGTCCTGGGACAGCTACAGAGGAGTCACTGTAAATTAATCTCCTTGGCTTAGTAAGCAAAACAGGGAGACTGTCCTGGGAGCTGAAGCCCAGAGTGTGGCTGCCAGCAGGTGAAGGGCTGTGGGGTGGCCACAGAGTCAGCAGCATCAGTGCACCGAGCGGTAAACAGAGGCGAAACCAAGCACCTTGCTTACACCGGAGACAATGCCTCCCATTTCTGTGATGCTCTGCAGTTCAGAGCCCTTTCTTCCTCCTCAGCTGCGGCTCTTTCCACAGCACCACCCAGCCTCCCATGCCAGGGGTTCCTCGTCCTGAGCCATTATCTGCGATAAGAAGGGACTCCCCTTCTAGGTGCTGATTAAACAAAAATGGTCTCTCTGAAGTAAAGGATGAAAGGAGCAGTGAGGGAGAAAAAAAGCTAGTTAGTGGTCTTTGCCACATTTCTGGGAAGCCCCAAAGAACCGCACCTGCATCTTTTCATAAGGAACATCGTCATAGACACGGGGCTCAGGCCACTGACTCTGGCAGGATCTTGCATATCTAGAAAATAAAAGGGACAGTGATAACGATGACGACATTTGCAGCTCCCAGTGCTTTCCTGTCCACTCTCTTGTTTGATTCTGGCAGCAGCTCTCAACGCAGGTCAGAAGGTTAGTGACAGCAACATGGAAGAGAGCATTGTGCCATGTGCTGGGTTAGAGCTTCACAGGCAGGGACCCACGTGATTCTCACAGCAACCTGGAAGGCAGGTAATTTATCCCACCATTCTATAAGTCACAAAATATAGATCCAAGATGGCAAGCAACCAGCCCAAGCTCCCACAGCTGGTGGTGACAAAGCTGGGACTTGACCCCAGCTCTCCTAGTGCCAAACTCCATGTACCAGCCATATGCCCACCTGGATGCTCAAAGGTGTGAGAGCTTAAGGTGCTGTGGCATGAGGGCAGAGCCCCGACCACCACGTCAGGGCTTTTGCGCTTTTGCTCATTCCATCCACAGCTTGCCCCTGACCCTGGGCCCCTCCTTCAGCCAGCTCCCTCCTTCTCGCTGAAGAGGAAGGTGCCCAATACAGCTTCCCAAGGATGCAGAGTCTTCTTTAGCTTTTCCTCCCTTTCCTCCCAGTGCCCAGGGCTGGACTCAGGCTCTGAGAGGGAGCTCAGACAGCAAAAGTCCTGGGCAGGTGTGGCCCGCGGGGGCTGACCCTTACAGGAACGAGTTGCGCCCAGCACTGACGATGCTGGTTAGGGTCTCCACGTCCACATAGTCATAGTGCAGCGCCTCAGGGGTGACTCTGGAGCCCATCTCCACCAACAGCAGCCCAAGCCAGCGACCCATGTCCTCTGAACAGCTTGCCTGAGGGAGACGAGGCACAAGTGGAGTTCATTTTGGTACTGCCAGGACTCTGGCTACTTGCTCACTTCAGCGAAACCCACAAATATTTATGAGTACCTACTATGTACCTAATGCATAGGGATCAGAGAGGAATAAGACTAGAACACACATTCAGAAATCCAAGAGGCTCCCTCCCTCCCTCCATTGGGGTTTCTGCCACCTCATCAGAGAGGCCCTCCCTGACTACCTCTCTAAGATAACTCATCCTCACTCTCTGTCCTCACGGTCTTCCTGACCATTTGGATGCAAAAACAACATTTAGGTGTTCCCTAAATTTTAAAAAAATATTTACTTCTTATTAGAAGAGGCTATTTTACATATAACTGAATCAAATTATTTTCTTGTATTATAATGATAATTGCCAAATAATTACAGTACCGTATACAGGAAGATCTCCAAAAAGTTGCTGGTCAACTAAACACATACTTCATATTAATTCTCATTTAAAGAGCATTATTATAAAATCAACTTAGCATGTAAATGCTAAACCTGAATACAGAAGCATACTTTTTACTAGAATTTAAAGGAAATAGGAGACCCATCTCAAACTACCAAAAATAAAAATAAGTTGCAGAGGCAATTATTTCTTGAAATTTAAGAACTGAGAGAGGCAGTGGGTGCTGGGCAAATGGAAGACTAAGAAGTTAGGTTTTAGTTCTAGGACAAGACCCTCCATGGAGCCCTGGACAAAGCACTTAGCTGCCCTGGCCTGCCCTGGCCTCAGTTTCCTTATCTGTAATGTAAGAATTCAGGTATTTAAGTTTTCCTCCAGTGTTAACATTTTAAATTCCAGGTAGCCAAAGGATTGACAAGTGGAAGAGCGATGCAAGGTATTCTGCATGACCTCAGAGAACAGAGCTGGTGCCAGTGGGTAGAAAGGAGAATGAATGCGTGAAATGAAGTCACGTTTCATTCACCCATTTGTTCAACAAGTATTTATTGAGCCCACAGTATGTGCTGGACATCATGCAGTGTTCTGGAAAAACCAAAGTATGCAAAGCAGGCATGGGTATTGGTCTTCACAGAGCTTACAGATTTTAACTCAATATAGGGAAAATCTTCCTAAAGATTTGAATTGCTCCAGGGGAGGGGCAGTGGTAGGTTGCAGGACAGTGGTTTATCTGAGTTGGATGACCACTGGGGGGGAAGGTTTTAGAGAGGATTCCAGAATCAGGTCAGGGTTAGACCAGGCTAGATGACTTTCAGGATTGGGATTTTAAGGTAAGAGGGAATAAACAAACCTTGGTTCTAGGGCTGCCCGATTTAGTAAATAAAAATACAGAATGCTTTGTTAAATTTGATTTTAAGTTACACAACAAATAATCTTTTAGTATAGGTATGTCCCAAATATTGCATGGGATATACTTGTATTAAAAACATTATTTGTTTTTTACCCGAAATTCAAATTTAAGTAGGTGCCCTGTATGTTATCTGGCTACCCTACTTGGGTCCCTTGGCAGCAGCTGGGCTGGTTTTCTTCCTTCTTCCTCAGTCCCTGTAGCGTCACAGCAACCCCCCACCCCCCAACCCCCAAGCGAAAACAAGGCACCCAGGCCAGAGCTCTTCTTGGTTCCTACCACCAAAGACCCCTGGATTCTTTCCTCTCACCTCCAGGATGGCCACCTCTTGCCGATTGTGCAGGATCCTGAAGGCAAATGGGTGTCTGGGCCCAAAGCCCGGAGCCACCTCGCAGCCACGGAGGGTGATGGCATTCACATGGGTCCGCAGGTCCGTGTGGTCCTTGTGGAAATACAGAGTGTTGCACTTTAGGCGGCACCAGCGTTCCTTCCAGCCCTGGTTCACCAGCACGTTCAGATAGCCTGGGAGGGGAGACCAGTGCGTGACCCCCCACAGCCACCTTGGGGACACCCAAGGTGGGGTATGCGAGTCGAGGTGGGTGCATGGATCTACACAGAGCGCCTGGACAACCCTTGCACTCTAGCTGGAAAGAAGGCCTCCTGGGTCCTGGATCTGCTCACTCCTCCCACTTGTAACTTCAGGCATCAGGGACTGATAATCACATTCAAACGTGGCTGCACAGCCTTTGGACCACACCAAGGTTGATGAAAACAGGAACCACTACATATATAATGTATAAAAGACACAAGTCTCCCTCTTGCCCTCCTATCTCCCCAAATCAAAACTGTTACTCAAAGAGGGAAAATAATGGATGATACTGACACCTAGTGGCAGCAGGTGGGAACCAAACCATCTAGCCAAGGTAGTTCTAAAACAGCAAGGCACAGGCAGCCACATAGCTGATGATGGATGGCTTTAGAATTCCCTCTTTACTTTTTAGATTTAAATTTATTTTTTACCGTTACATGCCCTGTTCCACTAATTACAAAATATTTCCTTAGAGTAATGTTATTTTATTACATTTTTTCAGGGTTAATAGAATATTACTGCACATCCAAAATATATGATTTTCTATTAGATTCCAGTACATGGAACATGACATTTACATGAACAAAATAATGTTTCTCCATCTAAGCCACTTTTAACTCCCATTGAGTACATTTATAATGAAAAGTACTTAAATATTTTTATCCAAGAAATTCCCTTATAAGACTGGGTTTTAACTCATACACCTGGTAAGTTATATGCTGGGAAATAAGACTTTCTTCTACTTGTGGAAACTGAGAAACTGAGGCCCAGAGACAGGCAGGGATGTGGGCTAAGGTTACAGGAGCATAGAAATATGGGGGTCGGATGGCTTTTCCTATTGCTGAGTGTCAGGGCCTCAGGGAGAGCAGTGACGGGAGGGCTTGGATTGTTGATGGAGTGGGGCTGAGCCATGCTGTAGGCGGAGATCTCTTCTCTGCCCTGGGGGTGAGGTGGATGAGGCATGATCTCCTGACTTCAGCCCCAAGAGCCCACGTCCACAGGACCTGAACTCCCCTCCTCCCCGTGCCCCGTACCCACCACAGCATGGAACCTCCTCCTCAGTGGAGGACGTCTGCAGGTCCTCGGTCTGTGGCTTCTTCTTGGAAAAGCTGATGATGCGGGTGATCTTGCGGCCCGCAGCCCTGCTCATTGAGCCCTTCAGCTCTGCCAGGCTGCTCTTCTTTCCTTTGCCTGTAGCAGCAGAGATGGGTCAAGAAAGGGGAGGGAGCCCTATACCCAATTGCACCCATCCTTAGCCTTCCCAGCAGCCCTTTCATTTTGCATGCAGGGACTGGCCTGCGTTCCAGGTATAGCAGGCTGGGCCACCTCACTCAGGTCTCCAGAGTGGACGGGAGACCACTGTGAGTCTGCCTCTGTGTCCCATGGGCAAGGCCCCTCCCAGCTCCGGCATTCTCTGCTGGAGCCCCCAGAGGCTCCTACCATGTTCACAAGCCTCTCGGCGGCCAAGGGTAGAAGAACTGTCACCCATGCCCAGGCTATCGGAGTCTGAGGTCTGCTTCTCTTGCGACAGCGTCTAGGGAGGGACACAGACAGCCCCACATCAGAGGGCATAGTCAGAAGTACCCCTTTATTGGTTCAATCTTCCCCCAGCTTACCCAGCACATAATAATCAGCTAACAAACACTTGTCAGCCACTATCATGTACCCATACCATAGCAGGGATCGGGTAGATAGCAATGACTTAGACATGGCTGTGTCTTTGAGTTACAGTCTATTTGGGGAGCAAGGAAATTAATTCTAACACACTGAAATCAATGTCCTGGGAGTTTGGACTGTATTTGGCAGGTGACAGGGACACTAAGTAATCCAACTTGGTTTAGGAAGTTCTCAGTGGCACTGTGGGGATGGGCAAGAGGGGGCAAGACTGGAGCAAAAGAGTCACTGAACAGAATGCCACCCAGGCCAAGACGAGACTCAATAAGGGTGTGAACCAAGATGACAGTGAGGATAGAGGAAAAAGGGATGAGGTAGGAGATATTTTCAAAATAGTCATGACAGGACCTGGTGATCAAAGGAACCCATTATGATCCTAGCAGAGGAGAGGATGGGAAGGACACACGTACATCATGTTAACAACTCCATTGCCAGCCAGCATTATTCTTACTTACTAAACCAACCATGAACCATTCACTCATTCATTCACCCAAGTGAAATCATGAGGTCAACAGACTATATCATTTCTAACACCTGTGTGGTGTGCCGCCATCTCACTTCAAGGAGCCAAAGTGTGCTGGCCAGACGTGGGACAGGATTAAAACGGCACCCACCACTTAAGAAGGTGGAATTACAGAGCTCTGAAGCCCCTCAACCTGTCCCGCCAATGTCCCCCCAACCAGGCTCAGGGTTGTCTCGCTGTACGCATAGCATTGGGGGTGGGGGCAGGAAGGCTAGGAGAGGTCATGTGCTCCTCTCAATTTCCAAAGGGCTGGTAAAATGGCAACTATCAACTGTCAAACATGGAAAGAATCTCCTGTGTGAGTTGTGAAACCTAAGCTATGATTCTGTTTGTTCTGCAATGGCGTACAGATGGCAAGTTTTTCATTAGGATAGAAAGCACATACAAAGAAATACTGTGAGCACTGGGGGATTAATTCCATGATGATGACACTTCACTCCTGTGATTCCACAGAGAGAGACACACCGATACCACGCCCCACCCCCACCCCCACCCAAACACCACTCTAAACGTTTGTTACCGCCACCCCACTTCCCCGTGCACTCAGCCACAGCAAAGCTCAGCTCCACAAGCTTGCCTCTTCTTCTTCTCTACACATCCTCCAACTGCACCACAGCATGCACTTACAAGTGTGTGCACACACACACTCACACAACACACACACTCCATCCACGCTGCTTCCCTTCCAGCCCCGCTAACAGCAAAGGCTAAGTACGGAGAGGGTTGAGCTTCTCCTCCAACATCCACCTGGGCACGAGAGCCCCGTGTCCCCTTTCCCTTCCTCTCCTAGTGACTCTGCCTGATGCCACACCTCTGCTTCTGCTGTCCCCTTCCCTTAGAGCCCCTTCCCTTGGCCCACCTCCGCCTCAGTAAAATCTCACCTGTGCTTCAAGGTCCAACACAGGTCCCCATCTTCCCTAACCCCCCTCACCCAGCTGGCCACTGTGAACTCCTCGTCCCCTCTGGGCCTCAGTTTCTATGTCTACAATATGGGAATAAAACTGGTCTTCTGCTTGGGTTGTCTGAGGACAGTGAGTTCGTGGATGTGAATCACTCTGATAGGGCTGGCAAGCTCCCCTTTCTCTCTGAGCCGAGCCACACTGGTTGCTTTCAATTCCATGCTTCCTTCTGCTCCAGCACCTGTTCTCTCTGCTTGGAATGCCTTTTCCCTCTCTTCCCTTGCTAACTTCTCATCCTCATCTGAGATGTCACTTCCTCAGCAAAGCCTTCCTGGACCTCGGAGCCAGGGGTGGGCCCCCTGACACACACTCCCAGGGCCCCTGGTACTTTTCCCTCCTGCTGCTGACTCCGTTTGGCATTCTGTGTGAGGATTTGATTGATGCCTGCTTCCCCTCTGGGCTGTAAGTGCTGTGAGGGCCGGGTGTGTCTATCTCTGCTAGAATTGCATTCTGTGCTCAGCCCAGCATCGTGCCTGGTGTGCAGCAGGTACTCACTAAGTACTTGTGGAGCATGTGCCCAGGACGCTTGCCTTGAGATGGGGATGGCAGAGCCAGTAAGAGAATGACTGTCTGGGTTAAAGTCCCAGCTCTGTTTCTTATCCACTATGTGACTTTGGGCAAATGTCTCTGTGCCTCAGCTCTCTCATCTGAAAATGTACCTACTCAAAGAGTTGTTATAGAAATGAGTTAATACACAACAAGCATTTAGAAAAGTGCAGTGCACACAGTCATAGTCTACAAATGCTAGCCTTTATTTTATCATGCAAGTCCTATGTATGTGAGTCTTAATCCCTCCACCCCCCACTGTAATGTCCTGAAAGGGAGGGTTTGGGTCTGAGTCTCTTTGTTACCCACCGCACCTACGAAAGCACAGGCACTAGTGCATATTTACCGACGGCCTGACAAATGACTAATGACCGCTTCACTCATGCTCCAAGCAGGCACATTTCTTATCTGACAGTTCAAATGTGTCATCCTCCTGTTCTGGCAGGGTGAGTCACTCCCTTCCCTGGCTCATACTGCACCCTGGACGTGGGCATTCATTAATTCATGTATTGATGAATTCAGCAGACACTTACTGAGCACCTACTGTTATGCCAGTTCTGTGCTGGGCACCCACAGCTGGTATGGCACCATCAGTGGGTGCATAGCTTCACCACCGGCCTGCGCGATCGCCTGGGGCTGAGCCTGTGCTGTGTGCCCACTGCCTGACCCAGAGGAGATGAGTGGAGACAGACATACCTTGTCCATGTCCAGCTTGCACAGGAAGACTGGGGATCTGGGGGCCTCCAAGCCCTCAGCTCCCGCGACAGGCTTGCTCATCTCTCGGATGACCTGTGGAGAAGGTTCACAGTTGTGAACAGGACGCAGAAGGAGAAGTGGGTCTGTGTGGTCAGGACCAGCGAGCAGAGGGTTACTGGGGGAATTGCTGAGCCAACACAGTCACCTGCACATGTGTGGGGCATGCTAGGGTCTGAAAGGGCTTTCTCCTGTTCTATCCCTTGGATTGAAAAGATACAGGGCTGGGAACCAAGAAGCTTGGCTTCTAGACCTGGCTCCATTTGCTAATTAGTGGTGTGGCCTGGGGAAAGCCACTTTCCTGCTCTGGGCCTCAGTTTCTATGTCTGCAACATGGGAATAAAACTGGTCCTCTGCTTGGGTTGTCTGAGGACAGTGAGCTCGTGGATGTGAACCATAAAGCCTCAGGAGGGAGGGGCACCTGCTTCTGTGACTGTGTGGACCTTCACAACAACCTGCAGGCAGCTGGGCTACTACCCCCACTTCAATAATGTGGAAACAGACTGGAAAGCACTTGCTCATTCACCCAAGGCCTCATAGCAGTGAGCAGGCAGGTCATGAGAGGACAACAGCTACCCTTTGTCACTCACCTATCGGGTGGCTTTATGTGGATGATCCCACTTTAACCCCACAGCAGCCTTGTGATCCCCAAGTTATAGATTAGGATGGTGAAGCTCAGAGATGTGAAGCCACCTGTTAGGCAGCAGAGCCATAAGCCAAATGCAGGCAGTGAGGCTCCTGCTCTTAACCTCTGGGTAACAGCCTCCCAGGACCTGGACGTCATGGCAGGTCTCTTTCAATTCTAGGTCTAGGGCTCCTTCTTCTGACCATCCAGCCCCTGGGGGGGGGGTACAGTTCCCTCACCCCAGCAGGCAGGTTCTCTCCCTTCCTTCCCCTCCTGAGACAAAGGCAGTAATGAGAAACACCAAACATTCCAGTGAGAGAGCTGGTTATCACAGGAAGGAAGGGAGGAGGCGGGGAGGGAGGCATTGATTTCATTGTTCCAGCAGGGAGATCAGAGGAGGAGAGAGGAGGGTGTCACAGTGAGGAGAGGTGGGTGCAGGGGCAGAGGGTCTGCTGTAAGGAACTGGGGTGGGGGTATCACCATCATCACAATGGTAATCACCGACAGCTACTGGACACCCACTGCTTGGCAGGCTCTGTGCCAAGTGCTCTCTAGAATCCTTACAAGAACCATTCTACAGATGAGAAAAGTGAGGCACAGAGAGGTGAAGTCATTTGCAGATCACACAGCCTAGTGTGTGTGCCACAAAGTCCTTCCTTGTCATTGCTATGTCACCCTGCCTATGGTCTTTGGAGTAGACTTACTTCTTAGGTTCAAATCCTAGCCCCAACCACTTGGTTGTGTGACCCTCACCAAGTCACATTAGTTTGCCATGCCTCAGTTTCCCCATCTGTAAACTGGGAACAGTAATAGTCCCATTTTGAAGAATAAATGAGGTCAGGTATGCAAAGATCTTAGCACAATGCATGGCACTAAGTACTCAACACACAGTAACTCTCCTTGTTCTGTGCAGCCACACAGATGCAGAAGCGGGACCACAGGTGGCCATTACGAGCATGTGTGTTTCTCCTAAGACAAGGAAAGATTTTTCCTTTTTTATTTTTTTGAAAGGATTAACTTGTCTAATGATTAAATCAGCTGTCTTCATAGATATACGCTCTCCATTACAATAGGTACACAAGTGCAGGCTGGACAAGCCTACATTAGGGATGTTAGAAAAGGGATTCAGATAACTAGAAGGAACACAGGCCTCCAGACTGAGCTGTGTTTCCTGTAGATAGCCGAGGTCCATTTCCACACAAGCCCTAACCATGTTCAGGGCAGTTGTGCTCAGGCACTGAGCAGGGCCTGGTTCTTCCAGGGACAGGAGCCAGCCTCACTGAGGGCAGGTCTGGGGAAGAGAGGAAGGAGGAGGGGGTGATAAGTCAGGAGGAGGGTGCAGGGCTGGTACCTTCAGCCACTCCTCGGCCTGCTCCCGGCTCTGCAGGGCCAGCACCAGGACCTCGGTAGCCCCCTGGGAGAAGCGCAGCTCATGCCTCTTGTGGCGGCTGTCCTTGGGCACGTAGATGACGCTGCAAACATCCAGCGCCAACCTCAGATGTGGCTGCCGGTCCTTGGAGCTTTTGTAGCACTGGATAGGGAGAGATGGGGTCAGGGCCTTCTGGAGCAGAGGGTAGAGGAGGGAGAAACCCTCACACAAGGCTCAGGGGATGCTCGAGCTGCCCCATAGAGGCCCCCCCGACCCAGCCCAACCACTGGCAGGGGTGAGGACAGCTGAAGGGCCTGGGCAGTTTAGCCCAAGAGAAACCTGAGGGGTACATCTTTGGGCAATCTTTAGGCACAACTACCTATTTAGGAAGTGGCAGGTTTAGCCCAATAGTAAGAAGACCATTCTAGCCTTAAAGAACCAGAGAAGCAGCAGCAGCTGGATTGAGAGGAAGCCAGGTTAAAGGGTGACCTGGCAGGAATGTGGGAGAGAGAATTCTAGCAGAGGTGGAGGGTTGGGCTTGGGAAGTCAATAGTGTATCCATAATGATTCCCACTTCCCCATTCTTATTATGAGGCCAGCATAACCTTGACATCAGAACCTGACAATGACATTACAGAAAAGGAAAATTATAGGCTAATTTCTCTCATAACATAGTTGCAAAAGCCCTAGACAAAAACAAGCAAATGGAATCCAGACACTTATAAAAAGCATACATCAAGACCAAGCTATCCTGCAAACACAGGGCAGTTTAACATTCAAGAATCAACCATATAATTCTTCATATGAACAGAAAAAAGGAGAAAAATCTTATATCTCAATAGATGCAGAAAAAGTATTTAATAAAATCCAGTGATTTAAATTCAGTGATATAAACTTCTAGCAAACTAAGAGTAGAGGGGAACTTCCTTAATGTAAAAATAGGGAACATCTACATACACCCTATAGCAAACATCAGTCTTGATGGTGCATTATTAAAACTTTCTCCTTGAGATCTAGACTGAGACAATGATTCCTGCTCTCACCACTTCTGTTACATTGTGCTGGAGATCCTAGCCATTGCAATAAGTCAAGAAAAAATAGAAGGCACAGGAATGAAAAGAGGCCAGTCATGACCCTTGGACTGGTGCTGGTTAGGATGGGCTTTTCACTGCCCTAGGGTGAGAAAAGGTCATGTTTCAAATGCATTTGTGTTGAGCAAAGCTTGTCAGCAGATATTTGGGGGGAAGAGCTATTATTTTTTTCTGAAATTATATTCATCCTCCTACTTTGAAATTAAAGGTGCATTTTCATTCTTGAAATGGTAGTGACGAGAGATGATGAATTAAAAAAAACCAAAAAACCTTCTTTAAAATGGCCAATTATATAATGAGTGCTGTAGGGGATCAGCTTTATAAAAGACAGATGTATGGAAATGAGGGTGGAAATATGTATATTAACTCTTAACAGTGGTTATCTCTTGGTCAGTGGAATTATGAATTTTTTTAACACTTTTCATTTTGTTTTTATCTAATTTTATAAATAAGCACATTTACTTGCATAATTAAAAACAAGAATCATAGTTTTAAAGTGATAAAAATTCTTCTCTGGCAAAACACAAATTTGGTAAAGGCTATATCAGGTCTTTAAGTTTTTTGTGTGTTTGTTTTTGAACGTTCTGCTCAAAAGGGAGAGCCCCGATCTTGGGAGTCCTGGGATTTGAGCTCCTGTGCACAAAGCAAGGCCAGACGTGCTGTGAGTGGAAACACACCCACATGCAAGTCCCCCTGAGGCCAAGAGGCTCATGACATCTGCCTGTCACTTACCAGGAGCTGGTCCTCCCTGATGACCGTCAGCTGCTTGGCCCACTGCCCGAAGCGCTTCTTCCGCAGCAGGAAGGCACATATCCTGCAGTCCCTCACCAAGTGCATGGAGGCCTCCTCTGAGGGCCATTGGTGCCTGGGCCGTGGGCTCTTCCCTTCCTCTTCCTCCTCGTCATAGGACTCGTAGGAGCTGCTCATTGCATCAGAGTCATTGTCTGCAGGTGCCACAAGAGAGGACCTGTCACTATGCCATCACAGGGAGGCACTTTCTTACCTCTTTGCAGGCATCCCTGTTCTGGGGACCAGGACCACAAAGCGGGGCATAAGGCATGATATTGGTAAGGATTAAAGCCCTACGTGTGCACTATGCTCTACAGATTTACCACTTGCTTTGTGATCTTGGTGACTTCATGTCTCAGACCTTCAGTGTCCTCCTCAGTGGACATAATGAATAATCATATCTCCTTTATCTAGCTATTTGAAGACCAATGCATGGAGAGTTTTTAGCCAATAAATGCTTAATAAACTTCTGCTATTGTCAATACCCCATCATCATCATATCTGATGTCTCATGTGATTCTCACAGAAACTCAGCAAATCCCCATTTGATACATAAGGGAACCTGAGGCCCAAAGAGAAGGAATGACTCATTCAAGATCAGTCACTAAGAGTCAGGGCAAAGGCTAGATGCAGGGCTCCTGACTACTACTCCACAGGTCTCTCCACTGGATCCTGGGGTTACCAAAAACAAGGGCTTTGGGGCCTCTGTGGTGACTACGGCCTGAGTGAGGGGCAGGTGGGCACATGCATGCAAGAGCCAGGCCAAAGCCGACTCTTCGTGAGGACAGTGCTCGTTTGGAGCCTGCTCAGTGCTTACAGGAGCTCTTGAGCTCGCCGTTCATCCTGGTCGCAGGGTAGCTGCTGTCTGCATCTTCGTAGTAGACATCCACAATTGAATGGGGCGGGCTGCAGCCGTCTGTGGAGTTGTCAGAAAGAGCTACACTTTGAAAATTGCAGGCAGACTCCAGGGGCCAGAGCAGGGGAAGACGCTGGACACCATGCCCCTCCTCAGGGAAGAGACAGTAGGAGCTCCGAGAAGCTCCTGGCCAGAATGGGGGGCTTCGTCCCTGCATGTCATCTGCTCTAGCTCCCCACATATCCTCTGTGCTCCTGTCATCAGGAACAGCCCTGCTGGGTCCTGTAATACCTGCAGGCCTGTGTCATGCTATTCCCCGGACCCTCTTATCCTCTACCAGAGAACTCCTACTCATCTGTCAAGACCCAGCTCAGAGATCTTTCCTCTGACTTTCCTGGGTAGGGAGTGGTCAGTCCCTCCTTAGTGACCCCAAAGCACTGTGTATGTGTACGTACATGCATGTGCATGCATACACATGCGTGTGTGTGTGTATCTTGGTCATAGCTCTGATCCCTGCACTGCAGGAAGTGGTGAACCAGCTGCCTGGGCTCAGACCTCCCACTGATCTGCCTCCATCTCATCTTCTTCCACTTCAGTCCTCTTCTCACTTCCTAACACATACACTCCCTCTCCTTGTCAAAGCGACTCTCCTTCTAAACCTCTGGGACTGCAAAGGAAGAACTGGACTAGAGGAGATAAAAATAATGCACATAATAGTGACTACAAGAACTATCTATGCTGAATTTTCACAACACGTTCCCATTTGGGGCTGGGAGGCAGTACAGCACAGTACGGGGGTTGGGGGGCATCTCAAACTGTGTTCTGCAGCAGAATCACCCAGGGTTTTTTTTTTTTCTTTTTCCTTTTTGTCTTTTTTCGTGACCGGCAACGGGATCGCAACCCTCGGTGTTGTGCCCGCACCTCGCTCAGCCAGTGAGCGGCCGGTCTGTATGTAGAATCCAAACCCTCGGCGGGAGCGCCGCCACGCTCCCAAGTGGTGCACTGTAGCAGTGCGCCACCGGGCCGGCCCCAGGGGTTGTTTTAAAATGCACATCCCTGGGCTGTATCACCAGAGATTTTGATTCACTGGTGTGAGATGGACTGAGAAATCTGCATTAAAATAAAAAACTAATAGGAAAATTCTAAACATACATAAAAATAGGAAATATACTGAACTCCAATGAATTGGAACCAATTTATTCAACAAATTTATCTTAAAAAATAAATGGTTATTTTGATGCGGACAATCCCTGGAGCATACTTTGAAGTTCAGTTGGTTAAGAGCATGTGCTTTGGGGTTGATCAGAGTTGAGGTAAAATTGTCTCTACCATTTACTGAGTGACCTTGGAAAGAAAACGGTTTCTCTGCATTTCAGATTCTTGACCTTTAAAGTGACATGAACAGTTCCCACCTTGGATAAGTGATATAATGCATATATACTGGCACACCAGTGTGCCAGAAAATGCCAGCTATTATTGTTTTTGTTACCTCCTTAGATTCCCACAATGCAGGGCGGCAGGTATCCTCCCCATTTCACAGATGGGACACAAGCCGCATACAGTTTGCTGGTGACAGAGCCTGGATCAGAACTGAGGTGGCCAGCTCAGGGAACAGGAGCATATCCCCTCCTCCAGGAAGCCTTCCTTCACCCAGTCCAACTCGTTCTCACATCGCACTGTTCTCCAGAGTGCTGCTCTGGGCTCCCGCCCCTCCTCCTCCTGTCCATCTGTTTCCTGAGGACAGCAGCACTGAAATTCCCAGAGACTGGGACACCCAAGTGAGGCTCAGAGTCTGCCTTTCCCAGCAGGCATTCTGAGGCCTCAGATGCTGGCAACAGCCCCTGAGAGGTGGACCAGGCTGTTGGGACCAGAGGTTTGGAGGTGGGGGAGGAGGCGTGAAGGGGAAGAGGGGAGGGCACAGGGGCAAAGCACTGGGACACCTGGCAGGACTGGATGCTGTGTGTGAGAGGAAGGACACTCCCTGATGGGCCTGTAGTGCTCTCCCGGGACAAGTCCCCCAGTCTTTCCTGAGGCCCTCCCTCCCTCTTGCCCCAAGATTCCAGCTGCTTCTGGGAGGCGCTTCTCTGCCCTGTCTGAGGGGGAGGGGAGCTCTCTGGGAAGCAGAGGAGCCTCATCCAGCCCAGGGACTTGATCTGGGATTCAGAGCCCAGCAGCACTTCGTCCTCTGTCCTTGAATAGATAATATAGAATAAAGTTTCCTGCTTCACATCTAAAAAGCTGTTTGCAATGACATAGAACCAGAGACTATCAAGGCTGAAGAGGGCCACTGATCACCTGGTCCAACCCCACCACAGCCAAAAGGTGTCCATCATCTAGTGAAAGTTTCCAGAATCAAAATGGAGTCTCATGTGTTTAAAAAACCCTGTCAAATAGAGCAAGGGAAGGCCATGAAGGGAAGGGGTCTTATGCACAAATGCTTGATAATGAGAACTATCACAAAGGACTCTGCAAAACCACAATTGTACACAAAGGCCATCACAACCTTA